AAGGGGAGGAAGGGGTGATAGGTGGGTGGAAGGAAAGTGGGAGTATGAAATGGAACACAACTTGACAAATGCTTCTTAGTGTTCAATGCTTATAGCGCTTTTTCCCCTTCTTCATTAGACAAACAAATAGAAAAAAACCGCTGGCATCCACTTAGAATTTCTTTTTTCCTGAGAAAACCTTCAGGAATATTCCAGTTAGGTTCCAAACAACGAGAAACGAGGAGAAAAACTGGATGGTATACATAAGAAAGGATCAGTTCAGGCCGTACGACCCTCTATTGTAGGAAAGAAGGATCAGGCAACTGCTGCTACTCCTCTCATTGCCGTTGCTGTCCCGCTGTGGGAAGACAACAAGGCCTCCTACCCTCCCTCTCTAGTTTGTAAAAGTCGCATTTCCACAAAGGGCGGGAGGGCGGGAGGAAGAGAGATGGCGTTAGGCGGTTGTCTGTTCGTAGCCAAGGATAAGGGGCAACTACTTACAGGGCGTTGATGCTACATTTTGCTGCTTTATTTTATTCCACCGGAAAGTGTGTTGTTGTCGGACGGAGGCCACTCTCTCGAACTCTTGCCAAGTTCATTTTAAATTTTGAGGGGACGAAAGAAGAGAAAATTAACGATATATTTACATCTTTTCGAATTCTTCCTTATTGATAAGCCAATAGGAGAGGAAATTGAATACAAAAAATCTCGTACAATTCCTTACAGTGATTGCAGGAAGAGAAGGATCGGAAAGAAGGAAGAAGGGAAAAAAACATTTGGGAATAAGAAAAATGTTTAGGAAGATGCAGAGATGAATGTATGTGTTAGCTGGCATGTTTAACATCAACATGCTCATCTTTCTTCATCCTCTCTCCCTGCGTACATCGCGAGATTCCATGATGTTAGTTAGGAACAATCCGGAAAGGTCACAATATCGTCAAGTAAGTGACACATCGATAAGTCGATCATTTACGGATGGCATGGCATTTCTCACATAACATGGACAAGTAAATGAACCAGTTCATCAGTGGACAAAATCAGTAATATTCTGTCCTAACATGCATTCCATTCATCTGCCCAAATCATCCTTTCCCCTCCCCCATGTTTTGTTTAGCGCAAACGAATATTTCCCTAAAAAATAAACTGGTGCTAAGGAGATTACATGAAGACAGGGTAGTTTGGGAAGCTTCCAACATCAAAGAAGTGCTAGGGACCTTTCGTAAGATATGGAATTGCCCAAAACTTGTATATGTGATGAGATGACGTCATTGGTGTGAATATTACCGGTTGAGAAGTGAGTAATAATGGGCAATAAAATATAATAAAGTTGTTGGGAGTAAGGACAATAGTACCCAATCGTTTCAAGGTAAAGGTCAAGAAGATAGAAGGACGAGAACTTTAGCCAAACCAAAGGAGTTCCAATTTGGAACAGAAAGGGAGGACAAAGAATTTTATGCATTCAAAGCAACGATACACTCAACGGCAGCAGTAGCAGTAATGACGTGACATTGCCACATACATAGGGCGGGGAGTTAGTTGGTTGGTACATACGAGCGAGAACAATGAAGTTAGCATAAAAGGGAGTAAAAGGGTAACGAGCGAGTGTGGAAACATACATCCGAACGGGCATAACCATCATTCGAGGAAGCGACCAGCACAGACATTGGGTTCGCCTCTTCCGCCCCCGTTCCCCCTCGATGCCTGCCCGTCCGTCTGTACTTTGCACACTTTCCCCCTCACATTTTTCCACTTTATCTATCCCTTTCAACGAACAGACAGGCGGGGACGCAGACAAGCAGACATACACATTCCAGACATTGCTCAGTTCTCCCGCCTTGGCATTGAGCCAAGTTTCCAAAGATCAACCATTTGAAAACTTTTATCCTGAAAATGAGCCTAATAGATGAGCGGAATATGTGAAGTTTACGTGAGCTTCCGTTCGTCGGCGAATTCACATGCGCCACACATCCAGACATAGTCTCTATTTCGCATGCCACTCCGCGACGTCTGATAAAAACAGCGCGGAACAGAGAAACGCTGTGTGTGGGATTGGAATGCAGCCAAAATGCGATGAGATGTGTCCAGTGGCGCCGGTGGAGCACGTGAATGGGATGTATGTGCAGCGTGACGCACACGACATGGCTACTTCACCCCAGTCTCGACATGCGTCCTACCCGTTCTATAACATACACCTGATGAACACCCCTTCCTGGTACTCCCGAGCCCTTCCTTCGCCCCCGCATGCATCCTTTATCTTATGTATTGATTCGGGCGACATGTACTTCCTTTCATGTCGTACTCTCATCCATACACTGGTTTTGCATGTCCTCGCAAATTGAGTGCTGCATGGCAGCCAGGGGCATTTCTGGCGTTGCTCAGATTTGTGATGACCATGGATGGTTGTTCTGTGAACACTAGCTTGTCACCTTATGTAAGTTGTGACTTTAACGACAATTGACCAGAGAAAAGTAATTGGTCATCATTTTTAAACAGTAGCATCAACAACTACCTCGATATGGATTACTTGACACGACGAGGGTATGGTCATTCTGGCATTTGTAATTCATTCCGCAGATCAGTTCGGCATGAATGATGTTGGTCAGTGCGAGCGAGAAGATCATTGTATGAGCAATGAAGCAGAGAGCAGATGTAGGGCACTTTGTTGTACTTGGAATCGTTTTTCCTGTAGTATTTCGGGAAGCTTATAGGTCGGGTCATACTTGGTAGTACTGCAGCATTGGATGCCCTTTTATATGAATTTCTATGAAGGTTAGAAAGGGAGAGTGACGTTATAAATCAGTGTCATGTCGAGGTCTTTCGTTCGCTCTTCCTGTTTCGCGTCTACCCCATCTCCTAGCCTTCAATCCATGAGAATCCCTTCTGAGAGATGATATAATTTCTGAGACGTTTGTGTTTTCCAATCCACCCAAGCCCAATACAATTACATCATTAAGTATTGATCCTTCATTGCCATCAGAGTGAGTAGTTCTTGCGCTAAAAGAATTGGATTACGATAGCCCTGCAGAAAAGGAGATTTTCCGTAATAGTGAGAATTTTAATGGTGATGCTGTCGTTGGTCAAACGGGATGTACCTGTAGAGGAACTGAAATTTGAATGATTTACTTTATTGCTTTTACGTGAATAAAGGTAGAGGAAATTTAAAGATCGAATGAGATGGGATGAAGTGAAGAGAAAGAGAGAGAAAGGAGAAACGTTCGTTCTGCACCTTTGTCCGGGGAACGTTCGATAGAACTACAGCAGATACGGGGGAACGATTGTTGTCTCAGTGACAAAACAAACTCTTGTTGATGTTTGGTTTACGAGTGATGTGGAACTTGTGAATGATTGGAATTTATTGGTGTAGGTCGACCGCCACCGGCACATTCTCTGCTCACTTCCCGAATAGACAGATTCTAAAGCGTTTCCGGTTTTCTCCCTTCTCTCCTCTTTCACTACTTACCTGTTTCTCAACCGTCCTTGATGAAATTTTCCTGTGTAAACAGCCTGAAAATGGAGAGCAGGTAGGTGGATTAAAGATAAGTGAAGCCAGTAAAGAAATGAATGTATAAGTGTTTTAATTTAGAAGAAATTTGACGAATAAATCCGACATATGTATTGTAACGAAGGTTTGTTGGACAGGTTGGTTGGTTTGATGGATGGAATGAGAAGATCAGGGAATGAAAAATAGGAAATTTGTTTGAATAAGAAGAGGAAGAAGAAGCTACACCATCTCAAATTCTTTTCGCTGTTTTCATCAGTAATCAATAAATCAGTGGTCGATTGAAGAAATAAGGGATGCAAGAAAGGAAGTAAATGTTCGGGAACTATAAGAAATAGTGGAAGGGAAACCGAATACCCTGTTATCGTCCTGATTTTGCATTCATTTTCGTAGGGAAACTTGTCTAATGATTCTCAGTGCACTTCCTATGGTTAGAGAGTGATCTGATCTGATCTGATCGCATGATGCATTCTGCAGCAATGTCTAGTTTTGTCATACAGGGTAGCAAATACGGGAACTTATATGAAACATGCAGTGCATGTCAGACATGACACTTATTGATTTTCGGTGTTTTCATCAGTAATCAATAAATCAGTGGTCGACTGAAGAAATAAGGGATGCAAGAAAGGAAGTAAGTATACTGCATACTTTTCTGTTGGGAGAGGTATAGTGATGAGTAAACATCTTCAGTGCTTCTTATTTTTCGGATTGGGATGTTCAGGTTTTGGATGGTGTGAAGGGTGATCGGTGGTCAGGATAGTAATATGAAAGCAGTGTAAGAAGCGCCTGTTTTAATATTTCGAAATTCATGAGAATAAACAAAGAAACAAGAATGGGGAGTCTTTACAAGGAAGGGATCGGGTTGGGGTCAAGAATCCTAATAAAAAAAATAAAATGTCTTTGAATTCAGAGTAGCTCCAAAAAATTGATTGGGAATGAATCCAGTAAAGAGACGGGCAAAACATAAACCAAACACTTTGCTTCTCATCGTCAATTTATAATCTATAAGTGGTCGTTCGCGAAAGTTGTGGGGAAAACACGGAATTTAAAATTGAAATTCACGTGTCATGCAAATAGTTTAAAATAGAAAAAAAAAACAAGGGCTCTTTAACTCTACCATCCACGTCACTTACAAGTACTACCACTTCAATTCAGACCAAAGGTTACATGGGGACAGCATTCCAATGAACCCATAAGATCTTTGTTTAGACGATTATTACGCAATATGTTGTGTTTATTGTCTCTATGACTATTATTCAAAGAAGTACAAAATGACATTCCCGCCTTCTCAAGCATCTCTTCAGTGCTAATCCATAATGGAAGTTGAGCAAATAATGCGACCTCTCATCTTTGTTTCCAGAAGAAACGAAGTAGAAACATTGCTCAGTGGAATCAAGGGCGGGGAAAGTTAAAAGTTGAATAATTCGGATGCGAAATATCGAAAAACAAAAAAAAAAAGGAAGGAATTGTTTCCCAACTATGGAATGGAAAATTTATCATTCCTATTAAATTATCGAATGCTCAAACTCACTGATTTTCTTCTAATGGAATTTATTTACTGTCTTTAATTCTTAGTGCTTCATAATTTCTTCCCTTTACAGCGAAAATACTGATAAGATGGAAGAAGCTATTTTGATGGAATATCAACCTTATCTAATTCGTTGTTGCAATTCTTCATTAAGTTCCGATAATCAGTAATCTGTACAATTCTATGTTCAGTTTTTTTTTTTTTTTCGGATATCATTCATACTGTTTAATTTAGCAAACATCATATACCTTTCACTGCACTTAAAAGTAAAAGTCATCCGTGTATTTCGAGCGTCTGCTCAATAAAAATTGCAAATGCGTTGTTTGCCTTTTAAACAATGTACTTGTTTCACAGCATGTCAACTTTACGTAATGAAGAACATTCAGTCTAATTTGAGGTATTGCTAATCACACTAGTCGATGTTTAGCACTTCACCGGAAGCTACCTTTGAATCAAATGATAGGAAGTCTCATTCTTATTTTTAGTGATAATTATTCTGTTCAATGAAAGTTGCCAATATTTTTGTTCACTTCATGTTACTTTCCACTCATTGATGATTAATTATCGGATTACCGTTCAAAGCCATAATTATAACAGCTCTGCACTAATCATTGATTTATTAATGATTTTGTGGGAATGAATTTACACTATAACTAAAAACCGAATTCCTGATTTTTTGATTTTTGTTACAACCATTGTTCAAGTCATTATTGGTTCAGCTAAATTAATTTTTTGCAGATTCTTAGTGCTGAGTGCTGAAATTTTTTTTTTAAAAAATAGCTATTATTGTAAGTCAAAAAAAATGCAGCTATTTGCTATTTTAACATTCCACCGGCTGACTATTTCGTTACAAGTTAAATTCTTAAATGTTGATAAACTTTTGTAAAATTATTTAAGAAAAATTTCACGACAGAGGAGGGAGATGTGCGTCCAAAAGAAACGCATATCTTGCTCTTATTTGAAAGGCTAATCTCGTAAGAAATGAATGAAAGTAAATTTTAATTTTATGTTAAAGACGCACTTTTCCAATTGATGAAACAAACAGCATTAAATTTCCCTAGCAATTTGTAACTTCCTTAACAATATTTGAAATAATTAGAACATCTCTGAAATAATTTTCAAAAAAAGCCAACTAATAAATATAGTTTTCGAACTGACATTCCAAACTACTTTCTCTACGTATTTTAAAGCAGTATTTGAGGGTAATTAGTAAACTATTCTATGTCAAATTATGATTAAAATACATAGTGATCTTTAGTTTTCTGTCTATGCAAATGGCAAAATGCAGAAGTGTCTGCAAAGCACTTTCAAAAGGACTTAAAGGTCATAGAAGCACAAGCGAACAAATGATGCGACATACTACTGCAAGTATTTGATATAAACCTTTAATAAAGAATTCTTAAATCTCACCAGGTCATACTGATCGTTTTTTCAACGTGACAAATAAGAAACTCTGCATAACGGTGACTGTAGCACACTGAATTGAATCTAAGTGTGGTAAGCAAGAAGTTTTCAATCCCAAATTTGAAAGATAGTTCAAAGTTACACAAATCAACTCTTACTCAAATTTAAGGTAAGATGATGATTGTTTATTATTTAAAATCTGCAAAAATTGCTACAAAGTAAAAATATTGTTGCATGCGGCAGATGCAACAAGTAAATGTTAAAAATAACGGTTAACATATACAACAAAACTTCCATCGCTAGTTAAATGGAAGAAAGTATGGAATGCAAACAACATGTCTTTTAGATAATTAAAAATTATTTGGCTAAATATATAACAATGAATGTTGGAATAATTTGATTTGATGGATTAAAAGACTGGCTTTGAAAATAAAAAAGGTGGAAGGCGTTCCGTGAATCGTTTTTGAAATGGACTCAGTACCACTTCCGTCATAGTATCTGTTTTTTCTTGACTGTTTGGTGGTTAAATTGTGATTTAACATTTTCTTTTTTTATTACAAAGTGCAAATTTGATAGCAAGTTAATATGCTTGAAAAGCGAAATTACTGTTTACTTAATGAATTCTTATGATACTGAAATGGAATGCAACTGAAACTTTGAAATACACAACTGCTAATAAAACATTATCACAATTTCCCCACAATATTTTAGGCTTTCTTTAAATTTGTTTACATTTTTCAGTTTCGTATATTGAAAACGGAGTCATATTCTTTACATCCTTACTGTACATGTCAGTTGAAGTTTGTGGAAGTATCATGCGAAGATACTTCAAAACGAGTATCAGTAGGCAATGCTGAGAAACCAAAATTTTTTGGTAAAACAAAAAATAACGGAAGGAATTGAATGACAGGAAGATTATTTGGCCATTGGTTATTAAAAATGGATAATTAATGAGCGACGTGGGAGGTTAATATGGTATGAGATATGTTGTGGGGAGAAGGGAGGGAGGGAAGCTAAGGAATGAGGTGTATTTAGTAATAATCATCATAGTCGAGAAGAGCAAGTTACATCGTTCAATTTGATGATATTATCAGTGACAGAAATCATTTTTGCGGAATCGTTTACCGTCACTAAGGATGTAACGATGACCTTGCATGTCCTCTCTTCATCTTAGCCCTTCTAATCATCCCATCTCTCAATTTCGATCTACAACCTTATTTGCACTTTTCGAATTTTGTCCTTCTCTTCTCTTCAGTAAGTGACAGCTTATTATTTCACTTGGAGTGAAATAATAAAAATAAAAAAAACACACATACACACACAATAAATTTATGCACGTTACTTTGGTATCTTTAACAAATGTTTTCGATGCTTTTCTGAATTGGCCAGGATTGATAATGAAGATTGCTACTTCTCTTGTTTCAAATAATGAAGAGTTAATCTGTAATGAAGAGTATAAAATTTTGCTATTGTCTTCAGGGCGAAATCATGAAGATGAAATACTAATTTTTAGCAAATGATAAAATATCAATCCTTTGAAAAAAAAAATGAGACCAAAATATGTTTGAATACATGAAATCGTTTACCAGAAACAATAAATTGAAAGAGAAAAACAAACAAGTGCGTTCCCGATATTTCCCTTTTAACTCTTCTTCAGCAGCAATGATGACAATGGCTTTTGTCAAACATTGAACAAATAAAGTTTCAGAATTTTTGGAAAAACATGATTTTTTTGTGGAGAAAAAAAACAAATGAAAGTAATGTGTGAATCATTGCAAAGGTGAGAATTTGGATGAGTAATGTTTTTAAGGAGAATGATTCAATTGTTGCCAATCACCGATGACGTATACCATTCCCTTTAATGGAATTATGTGATACGAAAGTAACAACTCATAGATTATATATGGGGTGACAAAAACGCTTTTATAATATAATTGTAAAATAATAATTCTTCAAATCACCTCTCTTATTTATTGGTACAAACTTACAATGACAGCTTTACTAGAGCTGTTATTGCTCTTTCGCCTACATCCGTCCTGTTTTGTTTTCTTGATGAAATAAGACTGTATTAGATCAGACAAAAGCAAAGAGTATAAATCATCAGAAAGCCATACGAATATCTCATACTTTTGCTAGTCTACATTAATTACAATGTCACACTAATCATACAAAATGTCAATGTCGTGTTATGCAATCTCTTTGGCTTACTTTGGTTATTGTTGAATAATTGCTCTCAATACAGCACTTATTATCTATAATTAAAAAAAAAAATTTTTCTAGCATTTTCTTCAATGCTTCATGAGTCTACTACAGATCACCTTCACGTTTATCATTATCATATAACCGATCGGTCAATAAATGAATCCATTCGTTCATAACAATCTTCCTTATCATTCTCTGTTCTGATCCTTGAAATTTAAGAGGGATCAAAAGATTACCCATAAAAAATCGGATAGCTGCCAAAACAGGCAACATTTGGTTCGTTTTACACAATTGTGGCTGGCTGTTGCTCATGCTATCAGCTGATCACATGAGATCGTTCTGTGATCAAAATATTTCCATCGCAAAAAAAAAAAACAAAATTACCTTCCAAATAAAACGTCATCTTTGTCATGTCCCTGTATTCTCGCAAACATTGCTTGCATCTCTTGTATATAACAAATAAAATTTCCATACTTTTTTAAACATTCTCGGATGTTCTATCAGTTCAGCAGGATTTTATCAAGACTGTATAGAATAGGCATTCCAGTCTATGCTCCACTGTCTTTCATTTCTCTTCAACGAAGATAGCTAAATTACGAATCAGTTTGATGGGATAGATCCAAAACAAGCAATCGCGCCAGAACTGTCAATGTATAGTTTCCAATGACAATTAGGGAGACATTGTCAAAGTTAAGATATTAATGCCATTGACACAGACAGAAATAATGCCAAGTATTCAAGAATCGCCAAATTAGATCAGGTTATAAAACACAGAGTACAACCAGCCTACAATTAATTAAGGACATATTGTCGTAGTTCAGCTATTACCTCATTATCTGAACTGAACTAATATCTGAACTACCTCATTCCTGAATTACACCATGAGCATCTTGCTTCACCCAACTTACGATTGCGTAACAATCAACGCTTTTGGTTATATACGAATATTTTTACCATTAATCTATAAGTTATAAAGATCAAATCTCCGAAAATTCAGGATTTTGAAGTTTAGGAACTAAAATTTGGAACAAAATAGGAAGCATTCAACAATGGTGGGTCGACTGAGGCCTTAGTGCTTCATTATTATACAGCCATTATACAAGAACAGTATTCAATTTTCAGGAGAGGAGGAATTTTTTACATTTTCTTGAGATTAAATGTTCTCGATAATATAGCTTTCTTTTTTGAGCTCTAAACTTTAAGAAATTGCTCTTCCCAAATTTTTCGGCCATAAATATGCAAACTATTTGGCAGGTAAAATATGTGGATTATTTCATGGATACGATGATGCGATGCAATTCATTCATGCATTAATCAATGAATACATTTATAATACATAAGAAATTAGGTAAGAGTAGCGAATAATGTTTTATAGTTATAAGTGTAATTAGTTTGACATAAGCCTTAATAGCTTCTGGAGAGCATCTGTCAACTGGCAATCCACTTCATCCTGTTGTGATAATTTAAATCCGGTTAGTTTCTCTTCCACTTTTGCGAAGCTTAATTCATCAGTTTCTGTCATGCTCCACAAAAAGTCAGTCAACACTTTTTGCTGAAATAAGTTAAAATTAGATACATAAGTTTACGACAGCTGATGTGGTACAACTAATAGAAGGTACCACACTTTGTCCAGCATTTGATGCTTCACTCGTCATCCTATTCCCTATCTGATGGCGATAACGGAAAATGCATATGCACAATCTTCTCTAAAACCAAAATCTGTGCTATCTACCTGATGATATTATGCAGTCCAAATTTTGCATCTATACTAACGCATCTCCATCTCAGTTTTATCTTGATGGAAGGTTATGATGTCATAAATAAGGCAAAGTCCAACAAAGATGTCGGTTATTTAATTTGAAGTGATTGAGTTTTATGAAAAATGAAAATGGTTGATAAACTAGCCAAGAAACAAAAAATGAAGGTTGAATTCATCATCATTATTTCTTGCAAGATCAACCACTATCTATTTGGAGATTTAATTACAATGATGATAAAAAGTGGTTTTCACCTGCATAATTTTCTGCTTCAATTTATCGATGATTCCAACCTGTGCCGTAAATTGTTCTTCAAGTTGTTCGCTGTACTCACGAATTTGCTCTAATTCCATCACTGCATCATCATTTTTCCTTGACTTTCTGATTCCAATTTAGCCACACGACTTGTTAGCTTTGAAATTTCGTCTTCGTATTCGTGAACCGTTTTTAAAGCGCATGAAAGGCGATAGCGATATTCTTCAAAACGTCGTTCCAAATCTGTTCTGAAATTATGGGAAATTGAGACATTTTGCGCCAATTTAACACAATTAGTTCAAGTAACAGTAGTAATTCATCAACTTTACCTCACGAAATGTTAATTCAATTAATCTAGGTGTTGAGAAAATCCGATTGTTCAACTACCGACTGATACAACGAATAACCTCTCACCTGTATGAGCTGTAAAGTAAGCTAGCATTAGGGTTGCATATAATATAAGAATACACTTAACTTACTTTACTGCAGGCCTTATATCATCCTTCAATCGCTGTATTTCATCCAGAGCGGTACCATGCTCCGCCTGTAACCTAGCGTGTTCTTTTTCCAGCACTTTCATTTCGCTTTCCTTCTTTGCCAGAATTTCCTAAAAGTCTGTTGAATATTTAAATCTCTCACTTCCTCAGAACAATGATTAAAAGAACGAATTGTTTGCGATGCAAGCGCTGCTCCACAACTGCGCTTGCAATTTACCTACCTCGAACTGCTGTAAGGATTTCGTGCACTTTCGTATCTGACCGCGTAACTCATTAGTTTCATCTGTGCAGCACTGCATCTGAGTTTTCATCTCAGCGATCCGACTTAAATAAATGCATCGGTAAGTAAAAGCATAAATATCATTTTCTAATTACCAGTTGACTTATGCAAATTTCACTCATTTGTCTACTATTCAGATGCTCGATGCTTCAATAAAAGCTTGAGAAGCTTGAAAAATCACTTAAACACTCAAACCTTTCTTGCTCAGAAGTTTTTTCGCCTTGCAAACTCAGCTGCTCATCCTTCTGTTGCAGAAGATACCGTAACTTACCCATTTCTTTGGACATTCTATTCACTTCACCATTCAGCTAAATAAGTTCACTTGAACTTCAATTTGAAAGATTAAATGGGAAGAAATTGTCCTTTCAGGCGCAACTCAATGTAAATTCTGATGGATTATGGATTTGGTTTATCTTCTTAATAATACTGAATATATCAGAAACATGTACAAACCATTTGCTTCTCTGATTCAAGTTCAATTTCTCGTTTACGCAATCTTTCTACTTCTATGTGTAAATCCTGAAAACAATACCACAATTTACGATCTTTTACACTTTTTTCTTCCTCTGTTTGATCAATGATATATTTCCCTTTTCTAGCTTAGTCAATAGGATCGGTTCGAGCAACAAAAAAAGAAAAGCAAAATTTGATGTAAGATCAGTTCCGTATACCAGTGATTTCCCTTTCATCCTGATTTAATGATTTGTAAATGTTGAATGTAAGAAGCAATTTCGATCTTTGCTCAATCAATGAGTTTTCCAATCAAAAAAAAAAAGATGCTAACATTTTTCATTTTTTGTTTTGAGTATGATTGCTCAATTTGTTCTTTGAGATCGTGTATTTTTGTCGCATTTTCAGTTTCTTTCAAAGCAAACTGACACATTTTCTGCTCTGTATCTATTTTGAGATGTAGCAGTTGCTAAAATGGAATTTTGGAAGATATAAACGAGAAGGAAAGATGATAAGCAATAAGAATGCAAGAAACTGTTGTTATCTCATCACAAATTGCTAACAATAAACTCCTCTTAAAGAGTGCTATAATTTGGAGAGAGAATCTGAAAAAAAAAAGAGAAAAAAAATTCAAAAAAAAGCTTGAAAAAAGTTATTATAACCTACATCTTCCAAATGTTCGATATAGGTGAGCATTTGTTGCACCAACTCTCTTTGTTTCATATTTAATGATGCTGATCGACGTAAACTGATCAGTTCACATTTCCGATTGCAAACTTCTCCAAAATCCTCAAAAAACAAAAGCGAAAGAAAGTGTTTCTTTGCCTTGGCATTATCAAACGAACAAATACTTTCCTTTCACTTCAAATTATTTTCTTTTTCAAAATCTTACTGGTATGGATGGTATTTCACTAAGAAACGTGCACTCATCTTCTTCAGTGATCCACGAATCCGTCATTGTATCTTTGCTTACCGACTCTTTCAATGTCTGTCGTTCCTAAATAAACCTCAGTGCAGGATTTCTCCGATAGAACAGAGCCCTTAACATCATACCTGTTTTCATTTTTGTGATAATAATTGTAACAGATTGAGGATTAATATCCAACATGCACATTGAAAATGACAAAAAGATCTAAATGAGACTGGAAAAAAAATTAGGAATCATAAAACTGGAATGCATTAGTAATCATAACAAATTAGTTACTGTCACCGCTTGGTCCAAAGGACAGTGTAAATAAAGTCAAAAGAATGGCAAGCACGAAGATGGAAAATTCATGAACTGCACTTTTCAAATTACAAATGAATCATGTATTTTTCCTTATTGTCAAAATTGCATACCTACTGTGAGGTAGCTACTGTTGGTACCTGAAAAGTTGGAGAAAAAAAGAAACTCTAGAATCTCAATTTTCTGAATCGTCTGTACAGTAAGGATGTAAAGAGTATGATTTCGTTTTCAATATACGAAACTGAAAAATGTAAACAAATTTAAAGAAAGCCTAAAATATTGTGGGGAAATAGCAATAACTACCCACTGATTTGTTAGTATATCTACTGATATTGGTTAGACTGAGTGATTCTACACAGCCATTTAAAAAGCATCATGATGCTAACTATCGATGTACCCCGCATAACCTACCCCCGATTGCTATATTTTCTTCAAAAAAGAAAAAGAATAATTGTTTTCATATTCCTCAATGTATTGGCTACATTCATCCACCATAATTATCATGCATGAGGTAATTGAAATATCCGGAATCTGGACAAAATTTACCAGATAAAATAATTAGCACACTAATATCAGTTAAGAAAAAATACTAATGAACAAAATATGCATGAATGAAAAAAGCCGGTTTTGGAAAGCAAACTGAAATTAAAGTTTCACACCTCATATTCATGCTCCATATTTTCTTTATTCTCTAGAATCTGAAATTCCAATAATTCGTTCATTTCTTTAGACTCGATTAATTCTGCTTCCATGCTTTCCATTTTGGAGCGTTGTTCCATGACCTGATCTTGCAATCTAGCGATGCTATCCAACAATTCCATCGTATTTTCCGACTAAACTAATAGACACTTATAGGTAAACTGTATCCAGATAGCATCTTGAATCATACAATCTCGATATGTGATGCGATTTAACAATTAAAGAAATGGATTGACATCTATCTGGAACAATAAGACTACTAATCGCCTGGGTAATATGAGAGGAATTTGAAGTCTCATTCTAAGCAAATATTTAGGCTCATAACCTCTGAGCTTCTGCTCTACGCCATGTTTGGAACCTTTTTTACGATAGTTTTTGTAGCATAAAGTTTTGCAACAGCCTTTTTCACAGCAACACACTAGAAAATCAGAAATCTAACAGTGAACCATAAAAGCGCAAGATCTTAGGATCATTATTTTAGTCTAACCGTCTTTGTAATTTAAATCTTATCAAGTTTTGTTAGTCACAAGTAAAAAATGTTATTAAGCAGCAAAGATTAATTCTTTAAAATTAGTTAAATTCATCGAGTTTGTAGTAAAATACTGTTAAACTTAAATAATATTTAGCGGCAGTTTTTATGAAGGTAACGTGGTAAAATAAATCGAACAGCTGATTTGGATATTATTTTGTGTGTCTGTGTGTGTGTGTGTGTGTTGTTTTTTTTGCTTACTTTTGCGAGTAGGTAAAGTTAACGAATCCCATTCATTCGATAATTTTATTGGATGTGAATATTAACAAAGAGACTTCAATGATGCACAACTAATCTTGCATTGATTACCGAGCAAATTAAGATGAAACTATATCAACTTATATTAGTATCGCCTGCGATGTATGTGTATATCGCCCATAATGAAATAAAAGTAAAGTTAATTGTAATTACGAGATATAATTTAGGCTATTTGTGCAAAGGAGAGTTCTTTTAAGAACAGCGCTTATAATTTATCCACAGTACACTGTTATCATTCAATATAGTGAATCCTCCAAACGGTAACATGTAAGAATGAGGTGAACTTCTTAAATTAGGCTTACATTGTTAGCCATCAAACTGCTCTGTTTATAGATCATTCAATTAACATGCAGCTATCATTTAATCACATTTTAATAAATAACAACAAAATAAATATAGTTTACTTGTAATTGTTGCTGCTCGATGACAACCTGTTGTTGAGCAATTGTTGTTTGGGCGCAAATCAACTGATGCCTTAGAAGCTGATCATCTTCAAGCCCATATTCACCCGTTTTCAGTACTGATAACGTTCGCCGAAGTTGTTCACCTTCGTGAGCAATTTGCTGATAACCGTTTTCAATATCTTTATCCAATGTCTGCAATTTGAAGTGCAACTGTAAAAGTAAATGAAATTTAAACTAACAATGTGCCACTTTTTTATACGTATATTTTCTCCTCAACTATCTTTGATGTTAGGAAACGCCTCTGTTACATATGTTTTCGACTTTGAAATGATTTAAAAAATATTATGGAGGAGTTATTTTTAAAATGGAAAAGTTTTTTTTAAATGGAAACAATCTAAGGATGGTTTATTTTTTTCTAAGGTACAAAAAAAAAAGGAAAAAAACTATTTTCAGAATTGATTACTTCATTCAAGTCTTCAGTAATAGTATTTAGCGAGATGGAACTTTCAGCGGAACAATCAGATCCACCAAATGATGATTGCCTATCCTCCTCAGTTTCGCCATTTTTTCGAGAAGATATACATTTCCTTAACCTTTTGAATTTTTGTACCAACAAATCATAACGGCGATCCTTCTCCTGAAATTTGTTAAAAAAGAACAGATGAAATAAGTGTCGTATCTAATACTATCATCAATCCTACTCCTGCAATTTATCACCTAACTCATTTCGACTACTATGAGTTATCATTTACTTCACTTTCATAATCATAAATTATCATTCCTCATCTTTACTATGTCAACTACCAGAAAAATCCTCACATACATCTATATATAGGAAGTGATGAGAAGACTCACCAAACCAGCTTGCCTCAGTGCAGTGATACATTTGGAGTACTCTAGCACTTGATTTCTATATCTATCTAATTCTTCCAGTTTTTCAGGAAAAGCTCTTCTTTCTTTTAGATTTTGATTATCTTTGACCAATCGTTCGTAATCATCCTTCTGAAAAATTCATTTAGAAATTATTTGAAGGGTCAAAATATATGTCACAATACTTAGTAATACATATTCATTGTTAATAAAAACTAACCAAAGTTAGGAAATCATCCTGTGAATGGCACAATTTCTGCTCACAGTTCTTCATTTCATTTTGAAGTATCCGATTTCGCTCAGTTAATCGACGATTTTGTTCGATTAAAGGTCGTTGGATTCGTTCCATTTCAACAATTTTTTTATTCTATAATTGAATTCACTAATTCATCAGTTAAAAAAAAAAAGTCGAAAAAATCCCAGATTTTTAGACGAAATTACGATAGGTAATATTTAGTAAAGAAATAAATTTAGTTATAAAGAAATGGAAATATGGATCAGAAAAATAACGAAATAATTAAAAGAAAACTGACTAATTCAGCCTTGATTTGGTTCATTTCCGAATTGACAATTTCGGCATCGGCCAAGCGTTTTGAAGTATCATCCAGTTTCTGCTGCCATCGCATACGATCCCTTTCGTAATCCTCCTTACTCATCTATTTTATAATTACAGTGACAATATGTGGATGATAATGTTCAATGAGCAAACCAAAATTGGAAATGAACGACTCTCTGATGTATTTCCTGATTCCTATATATATGAATGATAAGAATTGCATATCACAAGTTTATCATTTATGAGGTGATACTCCAGCATAACTTGCCAGTATGTACTAAGCAGAATAGCACAGTGGTTACTCTTTAATTATTTGGTCATAATGTCGCCAACCTGCGATTCATAAGAGATTTTGATCATGAATGTTATATAAAGATCAGGTGTGAAATTTTCGAGAAATTAAGAACTTTTTTGTACCCAAAGGTCACGCAACACTTTCATTTAAAATGGAATATTCTGTTTTAAAAGCAGTAAAGAGTGGAAGACCTAATTTTGTGTCATTTGAAATCAGAACAAGCTTAGCACATTAGAATACATCCTTGAATCAATGAACTTCTCACGATGACTTAATTACTAAGGGTTCAAGCTAATGTATGATGTTCAAAAGATATAGCTAACGAATTAAAATGAGTTTTTGTGAATATACACAAGTTGATTATTAGATGACTCTGGTAGTACAGTTATAGTGCGTGGGGTAAAGCAGATCACGAACTTTGTGTCATCGATGAATAACTATCTACTTTAAGAAACCAAAAACCAATCTCAGTCATGGATTCAATAACCATCACAAGACAACTAGTATTGATCGGCAACTGTGAATTATTTGCTGAAATCAAATGTCTAAATGTGATTATAGTTGGAAAGATTTGCCAATGAATGTCTTCCAATCATTATTGTGTTCAAACCTCGGGATTTTATTTCTAGCAAAAATATCACTGCTGCTTCGCAGTGTCGGTGTGTCAATGATGGTTAGATTGTATTGACATTTGATCCAGCAGCTCCAAACCAGTTGAAACGACATCACTAATGCTATTTGCTCTGACCTGCTACTTCTAGAAGAGTGAAAGACTTTACGTGACAGCCAACGAACATTGAATATTTAGAATGATACCATGCTGGTCACACGACTATGTGTGACATGCTACAAGGTCAGTTTAAAAATAAGAATGTGTGTTCACTAAGTGATACTAGTAACTACTGTCAGGAAGTGCAGTTAGGAGGACTTGCAATATGCATAATTCAGGAAAAGGAAGGAAATTATAATCTCAAAATATCGAAAAATTGCAAACTTCCTCTTCCTTCACCGAATCATTTTTAAGATGAAAAATGTTGAAGGATCGAAGAAACATAAGTTAAAAGAAGTGTTAACAAGAAGATAACGTTTGCTAAGAGAGGAAGAAAAAGAAAATGAAGTGTAACTGCGTGGTGTTGTGATTTGCTGTTTGTCGTTCCTCTGCTGAAAACTGTGTTTTATGATTTCTTCCAAAGAGACCAACCCTAATTGCTCCCATACAAAATGATAAATTACTTTTTACCGGACATCTTCTGCAAAGTATCAAATATTATTCAAGCAACTTATGGATGCAACTTTTACTCCTTCAAATTTTCCGCTTTTCATTGCTTCATTTTCTCAATTCCACTTTAGCAGATATTCCCGAGGGATTTTTCTCCACCAAATCATTCTCAGGGTGGAAATTTTTAGGATTTATATTTTCATATAAAACAAACTTTATTATGACCAACAGTTCTTCCCACTTACTTCCTGCATGCTACTTCGTCATAGATCCAAAAATCAAGTGTTCAAGCTATGAGAAGAAATATAACTGACATGGAAGAAAAAAAATATATAAATGAGACTCAATGGATACTGTATTTAAATTGCCAAACTTTCCCCATGAAAATCGTCTCGAAAATTTGACATACAAAATAAGAAAATGTTGCAATTAGTAACTCAATCCAAAAAAAATTACAATGTTGATAAATGACAAACAATAACTAATCAGTAATCCCGCTTACTTTATGCACGAATCACTTTGACCTAAATTTTAATCACTTATTTCGAAGAATTTGAATTCATGCAAAGTATGATGAAGAGTTACTAAATTTAATTATCTCTTCTTCCTTCAATACATCGCTTTTTCATTTTATCATTAATTTCGAATGACAAAATTCATTTCTTTTACAACTCTTTCACTAGAGCGCTTCCCTATGCTGCACTTTTCAATGCCTGCAGGTATACACGTATTATGACAATTGCCATTTCATTACACTGCAAAATTATGCTATCTGCACCAATTAATATTACTTGATTATCTTTATAATCATAACTTCATTTAAAATTAACTTATTCAACAATATATTTGAATTGGAATGTGAAGTTGCGTGGGTCTATTTGGAAAACACACTCCATTACCTGATGTTATGTCATTCATATCGTTCAGAAGTAAAACTGAAGCATAAGGTAGTTAGTTACATTTGTCAATCAGCTGGAATGGACACGCCCCATATCAGGCAAAATTTCAAATAACTTGTAATTTCAACACAACAAAAAAGAAAAAAAAATAGAAAAGAGCACCATTGTTGAACTGCCAAACACAGAATTTTGTTGTTTCGACATATTCTTGACAGTACTATTCTTTGACAATGTCCCATAGCCACTTGACAAAGATGAGGTACTTGTCGAAGCCATTTGATGTTGTTCAATGGCCTATAAAAAAAGTTCGAAAGGCGAAATTTATATCTCAGAAGACGACTAGCACTATGAACGAGTTCCATGCTACCTTTCTAGCAAACAAAATTACACTTATCAGGAGTTTCAGCTTGAAATTCAGGTTAATTCTAAAATCTCGTAGTTGACACTAATCAATTTGAGCAAAAATGAGCAAAGTGAGTTGTAAATGAAAGGATATAATATAGAATTCTGATAGTAGCAGGAATACGTTACAGTACTAATAAAATATGCTTTCGGATTTCATTACATATGCTATAATCCCGACTAAAAAAAAATATCAGAAAGATGAAGTGCTTTTCAATGTAATCAGTGACAACTTTTTTTCTGCTTATTAAAGAAAATTGATGACCAAAAAAAGCACTGTTAATCAATAACATTTTATAAGCAATTGCTTACATCAAATATCAAATCAAATAAAGATAAATAATACGATATTACAGTAACCTATTACAGATTACCTGTAATTTTTAACCAATTATAATTGTGTTCAAAATTGAATGAAAATATTGTACAAGAAATCAAAAAGGTGGCATGAAGAAGGAACGATGCAACATAAGAAATATACGCCTGCTCTTGTGGAAAGGGGGCATCATTACACCGTGTTCCGCCGGTTATACCACATACATAGCCAATTCCTGTACTGGAAAATGCTATCGAATGAACAAGCGGGAACCAGATACCGAAGTACATACGAAATCATCCGGAACAATAGCCATTGTTGCCCAGATGATAAGCACTTTTTACTTAGAGAATAACCTGTTTTGCGAGGCGATAACCAGCTTTACCGGCTTCCATGCAATATCCTAGGACAATGATCATCTCTATTATCCAAACAATAGCCTTACATATACAGAAATAATATACTTTTACTTTAGTACTCACGATATTTACATTCCCAACTTTTTTCATATTTACTTAAAGATATTGGCAAGATTTTTAGTGCGGGTTTTGGTGTCTATTCTTCTGATGACATGTTTAAAGAAGAAGCAAATGACTGTTTTCATACTGATACTACCAATTTGCCACAGTTCATATGTTACGGATGTTCCGTAAAGGGAATGCAGTTTTTGTGAGAAAAGTGAAGACAGGAATGGTAACAGGAAAAGAAATTGTATGGAACAAAAATTTCCAGAAGAAATACTTGTTTATGGAACTAAAATATTTTGGCGAACTTCATTTCCAAAATTATGCAAAACGTTTCATGGTTCAGTACACCACATCATACACCTTTAATATTCTTCCACCATTTCACATTCGAATTTGTCAGACATTACATTTTGTCGATGCATTCATTAATGAAGGATTTCATATGATTTCTTGTTGCAAATATTTCCTACAATTTTATAATAAAATGTTTATCTATTCAATTGATTGTCTATTTATGTAATTATTTAATTAATTAAATACTTGTTTATTCGTGCGCTTGTTCATTTATGTAATTATTGAATTAGATAATTATTTATTTATTCGTATACTTATTTATTTATTTATACATTTATTTATTTATTCATTTATCCTCATGCTGTTAACTAACTTGGGAATAACATGAAAAAGTATCAATCCTCAAAAAATATTTATTCGCTAAAAATTTATTTATTAAAAATAAAAATATTTATTTTTTATTGCCGCTGCTTAACTTGGACGGGAAGAACGATAAGTGAAAGGAACAAAGCTCGATGGGACAGCAATGGTAAGAAAGGAGTGATGGAAGTTAAGTGTTAAATGACTCAAGGCCAAACCATTATAAATAAAGTAGCTATTGCAAAAATGCGATAGCAACTGAATGTGCGGATGAAAAGTACTCCGGAAAAAGTCAAGAAGAATGACCATTGAGTTTTTTTTATTGCCGCTGCTTTACTTGGACGGAAGAACGACGAGATTATTGTTCACACTACACTACGTGAGCAAATGATTTAAATTCCGTTAAATTCTGATCACATTCCCGATAACAAATTCGAGTGCGTAATCAGATGGTAATCAACAAACTGTGTCCTTAATGTAGAAATAATAACAAATAAAGAAATTATGCATTCCAAAAGAGTTTCAGTGTAATGAGAGTATGTGTCATCTACTGAGTCATGAAAAAAGGATAGCGGTAGTACTGGAACTGTCACCTTGAGTATACGTTTAATAACATCCTCAAAAGTATCATGTCGCTGATCGGCAGTGGTTGTTGGCCGCCCAAGCTACTCATTACAAAAAACTACCAGCTGGATAGGTTCATGAAAAAAACTCGAGGTTGTGATAAAAATGAAGTAAAGCGATCGATCATTTATTTTGTGCACATCAACAGGCCACTCAATGAATTTACAGGTTAATTTTACAACTATCGACATTTCATTTTGAATTACATCTTTCCACATACTAATATTTTTATGGTAAGGGATAGAAAAGCAATGTTAATTTTGAAGTACCCACTTGAAAATGTCGATGAATCTTCCTATTCAGTTGAAAATTTCGAACATCGCTGAATTCCTGAGGTCAATATCTCTCTTATCACTCGTTGAAAAAGTGGAAGTTGGTAAGAACTACTGGCGAAAAAAGCACTTTTCAAAATTCATATCTCAAATCTAAATTCTTTACCTGCTTGAAATTTCAGCATCTGCTTCATTTAAATATCAAAAAATTCAATTCGCTTGCAATAACATACGAATGATATAAAACTACTGACACAACGAGCATTTCAGGCTTTTTAATAAGAGTCTTAAGTAACAAAGACTGGAGGCGAAAAGTAATCTGAAATGATTAATCGATAGAGGGTGTGAATTCCACCGACTGCGTAGAAGCGGTGGACACCTATTTCATTTAGATATGGATTTGGTCATTTGTTTTCATACTTGCCATGTCATTGGTCATTTACTGACCATTCCAGCTTTCTACTGTCCATTTTTCTTTTACTTGATAAAGTTAGCTAATTTGAGATAAGTGTCTATTAGTTAAAAATAATTGTCGTCACAATTGAAAAGAGTTGGCAAAACGGTAGAACGGGACATCGAAATGATTGAAATTACCATGGCAATATAATGAGGAGCACATTAGAATGACACTGTCCAGGAAAATTGGCATAAAAAATGTTCAAGAAAAAAGAGAATAATGGGTGAAATCTTGAATTTAGATGCGATTGAGTGGAACAAGGAGCAGGAAAGGAGAGGTGACAAAGACCACTGGTTGGGTGAATATCCTTGACCTCATTATAATTTTCATGCTACTGCTCAAGCGAAGTTTCAAATTAATGCAACACATTTAGAAGTGACTTCAAAACTGATGCATAAATAAGAACATTTGTTCATCCATGTATGAACTATAAACTAAATTGAAACAGAGTCAAGTAATGTCATAGATTAATGACGAACTGATTACCATTCTAAACTATATTACTCAAAAGTGCTGGAAATATACTTAGGATTTAGCAAATTCATCCTTTACCCAAAAACGCAGATATTCCTATTCGCCATGTTTGAATTCAAACAATATTTGCGTTTTTGCAAAACACTTACAAATTGCAACAAAACACGTCACTCACACTCATAAATTCCTGATTAATTAACATATTTGAATGGCTATATTTGAATGAAGTTATGATATTTTAGTAAAAACCCAAAAACCTGACGCTTCCTTTTCATTCCCTAGCCTTAGTAGAAGTAAGTCAAAGCGATAAGCAGTGTTGGAATGTCGCAAATTCATTTCACGTTCGTCAACACGTTACTAACTACCTCTGAAATAAGCTAAAGTTGCGCTTGTTGATATACCCAAGCCTTGTCCACCCGAACTGATTCAGTGACCCACTGGCATTAAGAAGGAAACTTTCTTGTCGATAAATGAAAATTTGTTCCATCCCGCGCATATATATACATACTATCTCTGAATATGGGTAGATAGAAAGTTGCCCAGAAGAGGTATTCTGGAAGGGTGCATATATCAGTGGTACATGCAAATATGCCGACAAAGATATCGCAACCATAATATGCAATAGCAATTTCTGTATGCATAACATTATTAGACAGATGTATCGGTACGTCTGATGTATTTTATTTGTATGATGGCAAAGGAATATTGTGTGACATATGTTGGGTATTTGTGCCAAAACATTCTGACCATAAGAAAATGCTGGATAAAGTGGAATGACGATGCTCTAGGAATCTAGGAACATGCATGGAATATTGGTGGAAATGAACGTCATTATTCTTTCTTCAATTTGTATCCCTCCATCATCATTCATTGGAGCAAGTTTGGAAATAGATAATGTCGCATATCCCTTATTTTACTTCTCAATACATTGTCCAACTTGTCGCATCATCGTCATATTTTGTTTGTGGTATTGTTTCCTTCTATTTTTTTTTTTTTTTTTTCTAGAATGTCATTCAACACACTTTGAAATGGGATGGTTTCAAATCAAGATGGGATGTTTTTCGATCCCATTCTCATGAATATCACCTTGATAATCAACTCGCTCCATGGATGGTGAACACTTTGCAGAGTCTTAAGGTAGAATATTCTGGATGAATTTCATTTCAACTAAAATTATTCCAATCAAACTTATTCGCCCCAATCTTTCAATCTTTGAAATTTATTCATCCATTCATTCATTCTATAAAATTGATAACCCAATATTTTATTCTTTCAATTAGACTGAATTCCGGCTAATGAAACATTGCAGCAAGAATTTGGATTTATGATAAACAAAAAATGATGAAGCATGAAAGGAGATTATGAATCACGCTTCATGATCCGTCTTTTTTTTGCCCTAGCATTTGCTGAAAAGTTTTTTCGTGTTTTTCAGTTTCTGATATTTGTGGTGTCACATTTGTTTTTGATTTTTGGAGCAGCGATATCTAAATTGATAGTGATTTTATTGGCAACCAGTACTGAGCTAAAAACTCTAGAAAGTTATTTTGAGAAAAAGTGCCACATTGGAGAAGGTTCTCTTTTTTTGCTAAAAGTTAAATATTTCTGAAGAAAGTGAGATATGTCATTTTATATTAGAAATGCGAAATACAGTATAAAAGATCTGTAGAGAAGATCTGTGGATGCAGGAATTTGCACATGACTCCCATTCTGTTTCTTCGTCAAGCAATTTATCCTGTAAAGGTCAAGTAGGTTTAAAGAAAACTGTTAGCTATACCTAGTAAAGCTATTGTTAAATAGTTAATATTTAGGAAAGGTGAAAAACACAGAAGTAATAGCGTCTGCAGTTTGTACCCTGTGGCTTATTCAAAATGTACCGGATGTAATGGCAATCATTCAGTCGCTGTATAGAATTTATAAATATCCGAAAGAACGAGAAGGTGCAGCATTGGTGGTAAGTTTGGTGCCTTCTTTATTTCTCCATGTTTCTTTTGTAACATTCTAATTCTTATTCAGCTATTTATAATGGAATGTTGCCGATCCATAGGCATGGCTATTTTATTTTACCATATTTTCCCGTCGCTGGATCCATTGCATTGCTTGATTCTATCAGTTTCTGCGGTATTCATACCACTATATCTCAAAATCGATGAATTAATTCGTCGTTCTTTTGATCCGATATGGTAGGTAACCTTATGATTTGTTGATTTGGCAATTTATGAAGTATTAATTATTGTATCATTGTAAACTTCAATGATAATAGAAATACAGGACCCTGAAGAAGAGGCTGAAGTTATTACTGCGTTCATGTAGTTATTCGATACTATTTTTGGTTATATTTGCTTCCTGCTATATGTGGAGTATAACCGTTGCCCCTTTTTTCAAGTTTGTCACATTACCTCTCGGGTTAATTTTATCATCATTTGGCTTTTGGGATTTATGGGTCAATGAGAGTCATTCCATATCGCGCTATCGCTACTTGTATCAAGTATGTGAACAAAGTTTTTATTGAATTATCAACTGTAATCTATTTCAACTATAGGTAATTTTGATAGTGAAATTGGAAAGTCCTTGTGGCGAACAAGTTCATTTCATTTCCTAGCAATTTTCGCAGGCGACGCTTTTCAGTACCACTTTTTACAGTTGAAGTATGGAACACGGAAAATGAGTTCAATGACACGACTCATGGTATCAATATTGCGCATATTGATTTCGAGTTCAATCTTATGGATTGTCAAACTCCGATATTTGCCATTTAAAGCTGTAAAGAAATCGCTGATTGAAATGTCTGCTTCAGAAAGCACCATTAATTTGTAGGCGTCTTTTTTTTCTTACATTGGTAAATTAAATCAGTGACATGTTGATATACTTGAGGATAAAAACAGATATCATTTGGTTTTAGTTTTATTAAAAAATTATCAGAACTGACATTTCACTCTTTCATTTTCTTCATCGGCTTAACCTATTCTTCAGATATACTCTCGCTTTGTGGATCATCTTTCTAAATTTTCTCTTGCGAATTGTATCCCGTTTGCTATCAGCAATGTCAATGAGAGTCCTAGCACCACTACATCCACTCGTGATCCTTGTACCATTGCTTACAATGATTTTCATTGGAACGTGTTTCCTCACTCCTGCATGTTTCATTCGCGAATATTTGTCTGTTTATGAGTTACGATGGCAATGTTTGGCTTGGAAGACATCACGAAAGTCATTGTCGGAGATATGTTTTGGTGTTATTTGGTTGATAGCTTATTTATGTTGGGCTTATCAGCATGTTAAGATACCTAAGTTTAATGCTGATGACGATGTGTAAGTTATTTTAAATAGATAAGAATATAAAGTCGATAAAATCGAAGGAATAAATAAAAATAGTTGTTATTGTTGGGGAGTTCTATTGATAACAGAATGTTGAAGATTTGATACAATCACGACTGTGTTGAATGGATTGATGATCGAACAGTCATTGGTAGTATATCGGGTCTCACTCAGTAAAAAGGTAAACACCAATGTGTATGAGATTTTTGGTCCTTAGGTATTTTTGAAAATTTTTAGGCGCCTTTTATTATTCAGATATTTAAAGCTTCTATGTTCATTTAGAAAATGGATGGCGATAATCGATCATCGGAGGGAGCAGAAGTTGATGTCGGCGACCTTCGAGTAACCAATGATGAAAGTGATAAGACTATGACGTTATATATTTGTGCAACTATGTGGCACGAAACACGAATCGAAATGATGCAAATGCTGAAATCTATCATAAAGTATTTTCTTCAGCGAAGTAAAGAAATTTTAAATAGAGATCACAACTCGATATTTCAGACTTGACAAAGAACATTCAATTACGTTGATCGAAAGACGACACTGGGATGATATCAAATATAGATTGGAAGGTTACTGTTCCTAACTTAATTTGTCTGATGGTTTTCATTATTGAATGCAGTTTGCGTGCAGGTAACAAAGGAAGTAAGTTGCAGCACATATCTTCTTTGACGATGTTTGGGAAGATCAGATGGAATGTGGTCGTGCTCCGAATGGCTTTTTTCAAACTTTTTTTCATCTCTTATTGGAACTAACACAGTAAGTTACTCTTTTCTCCAGAAGTTGTTATCAATCAATCGTGCTATTGATATTGCTACTGATTCCGTTACTTGTAAGAACACTGTATCAACAAAGGTATTTCAGAAATGAAACTACTGGTGAGAAAAGTGTTGCGACTGATCGTGTACTCGTTAATACTGCTTATGGTGGAAGGTTGGTAGTGCGTCTACCAGCAGGTACATTACTGTTTGTCCATCTGAAGGATAAGCAACTTGTTCGTCATAAAAAACGTTGGTCACAGGTAATTCATTCGTTGATATCAGATCAGTGAAAGATAGATGGATGATGCAAGCTTCCAGGTAATGTATCTGTATTACCTGCTTGGTCACCGAATTATGGATTCTCACATGAGCATAGAGGATCGTCAACTTGAAGCGGACAATACATACATTTTGGCTATTGATGGTGATTCCAAGTTTGAACCATCAGCGGTGATGAAGTTGTTAAGATTGATGAATATGAAGAATGAGATCGGTTGTGCATGTGGACGGATCCATCCTATTGGCGAAGGTCATTTCTTTTCTAATCTTTTCTATTCAATCTTTGCTTATATCCGATTCACAATGGACAAAAAAGCTATTGCTGTTAAAAGCAAGATGTAATATGATGTGAGTGATAGTAATGTGCATGTTCAGGCATAATGATATGGTATCAAAAGTTCGAGTATGCTATTTCCCATTGGTTCCAAAAAGCTACAGAACATGTGTTCGGATGTGTGCTTTGCGCTCCCGGTTGCTTCTCTCTATTTCGTGCATCTGCTTTGATGGATGATAACGTTATGCACAAATATACTAAGACTGCCTCCGAGCCACGTCATTTTGTGCAGTATGACCAGGTAAGCGTGCTTTTTAATTATTTACTCTTAATGTTTTTAAATAGCATCTTTTTGCGCACTATTGTAAGCACTAAATTTTATTAAGGGTGAAGATCGCTGGCTATCAACATTGCTTTTAAAACAAGGCTATCGAATTGAGTATGCCGCCGTTGCAGACGCAGAAACGTATGCACCTGAAGGTTTTCATGAATTTTTCAATCAACGACGTCGATGGACTCCTTCTTCTATAGCAAATACGGTCGATTTACTTGCCGACTATAAAGTAAGTTAATTGGAATAGTAGCTCTTTAGTCGTCAACCATAGTGCTATATCTTTTTTGTTTTTAATTTTTCCAGCATGTATGTCAAACCAATAACAGCATATCCAAAATGTATATCATTTATCAGTCAATGATGATTGGCTTCAGTCTCCTGTCTCCTAGTATCGTATTCACTATGCTTGTCTATGCTCAGGTCATTTTTTCTATTTTAAGATCAAATACAGGTAGAATGGATTCGTAAGTTCAGGTAGTATTTCTACTCATCTTTTTCAGAATAGCCTAATAAGGAGGAAGAAGTGGTAAAAAGTGTAACTATTCATCTTGAGGTATAATTTACTTTAAGAAGTACTAGTTAAATTCAGGTTGCCACATTTGAGGTGGAATCGGACAAAATGTTGCTATACAACTCTTTACCTGTCTTCATTTTCATTGTGCTCTGTTTCATTGCCGATTCGAATTATCAGATAATTTTTGCCAAATTTATTTCTGTTATGTATGGCTTTGTGATGCTTGCTGTTGCAGTTGCTACAACCAACCAAATAATCCTTGAAAGTAAATTTCATCTTGAATTATCAAGCAATCAAATGTTTCATGTAAATACACTGCTTTGGTTTAGTTCAATGGTTCCCTATCGATGGTCCGCTAGAGCTATTAAAAATTATGTCCTTTTTTTTTTACAATGTTACTCGTAAGTTTAACTAATACGTTAAATGTTTTGATTAAAGTTTACTTTAAAGTTAACAGAACTTATTATTTTTGAATCTTTTGATTCCTTCCATAAAAAAAAAGCCAAAGTAGTCCGTGGTCAGGAAAAGGTTGCAAACTACTGGTTTAGTTATATTGCTTACCAAAGATATACACGAAAAGTTTACATCATTTTTAGCCGCACTCTCTCCAACTCCAATCTTCGTGCTCTGTATGATAGGTATATTTGTTCTGGCCGCAGTTTTACATCCACAAGAATTCCACAACATCTTCTACGGTGAAGTTTTTGTTGCTTTTTGGTTAAGCCATACTGAATGATATGTTGATAGAGCTTTTTGTAGGACTAATATTCTTCCTGATGATACCATGCACATACATCTTCATGTCACTTTATGCACTCATCAATTTGAATATTATAA